GTATAACTTCTGCTTGATTACCTGTCCCTGCAGCTTTCTGGGAACTATGTCGCTCCCTAGTTTCTCCTTTTCTTTTATCCCCGTTTTTTTCCCCTTTTTCCAGTTTTCTCCACCCATCCTCCAAGATTTCCCAGAAGGAATACAATAGGCTCTTTCAGTTCAACTGATCTCAGTCATCTAAATACCAAGGGACCTGGAGCTGAGCTTGGCAATTTAGGCTTCTTTTAGACTCAGCAGAGAGCAACTGGCACATTTAGACCACAATTAATCTTCATCAATCTTAGTCTCATTTAATCTTAACTCCTGCAGATGCTCAGATTTAGTCCTGTCCATGTCACACGAATCATGACCTAAAGGGATCCAAAGTTTCACCCAGTTTGCATTTAATATTATTTCTTCAAGATACAGAAATCCTTTTCCAGGCTGTCTTCCCATGGGATCTTCCCTATCAAGCCCTTAACATTACTCAAGCCAGGTTTCTTAAGAACTGCAACCTTCCTTCTCCAGTCTCCATCCTTTTCTTTGTAAGTATTACAAACTCCATCATTTTCAGCCGCTGCAGATTTTCCCATCAGTTCTTTTGCTTCAGCAACAGCGAAGCCTCAAAATGAAATATAATAGCAAATAATATTGTATAAATATTAGTAAATTAAACAGTGGCAGAGACTGTTCTCCAGAACTGAAACCAATTGGCAGAGTCTGGCCATGCCGCTAGTATCAAAACCTCCCAGCCTCCAAAACGAGGTGGCGGTACCACAACTGCTTCTTGGCATGTGCACACTCCCAAATCATGACCAAAATTTGGGTTTTGGAGAGGGTTAGTGGATCCCTTTTGGAGAGGGTTGCTGGAGGAGCCGGTGCCTGCCAGCCAGCTGCCCTACTCACCATCCCCATGCTCCCATCCCACAAGCTACAGACCATCTACAGACCCACCAGGCAAGTCAGCTTCTCTCCAAGGACCAAGGATTTGTTTTTCCCTTGGCTGCGAAGACCCTTGTCCCAAGGGCCTGAGCAATTTCAAAGGGAAAACCGAGGAGGCCACTTGCACAGAAAGTAGATAGCTACATCCTACCAACCTAGCCTACAGGACAGCACCTCAAATCTTGGGATCAGTTTTGGGCCCCTCACTGCAAGAAAGACACTGAGGGGCTGGAGCATGTTCAGAGAAGGGAACGGAGCTGGGGAAGGGGCTGGAGCACAATTCCTGTGAGGAGCAGCTGAGGGAGCTGGGGGTGTTCAGCCTGGAGAAGGCTCAGGGGAGACCTTATCGCTCCCTACAACACCCTGAAAGGAGTGGGGGAGAGAGCGGGGCGGGGCTTGATCTTAAGAGGTCTTTTCCAACCTAAACAATACTATGATAGTAAAATAAACCGGGTATTTGCCTACCCTGGAGCTCCTCCTGGTGTCTTGTCATAAGAAATACAGTATTAGCAGTTTCCCAGCTGTAAGGACAGGGCTAACAAAGGCCTCTGCAGAGTAGGAGATGGCTCCAAAAAGCCACTCTGGCCAAATGCCCTCACTGCTCTCTGCTGTGACCTGCAAAGAGGAACAGGCCTTCAAAAGTACACTTTCCTGGAGGTAATGGATGGTTGCACTCAGAGAGCACCGGTCAACAGCTAAATGTCCGAGTGGAGATCGGTGATGAGTGGCGTTCCTCAGGGGTCAGTGTTGGGGCCTGTGCTGTTTAACATCTTTGTCAGTGACATGGATGACAGCATTGAGTGCACCCTCAGCAAGTTTGCTGACGACACCAAGCTGTGTGGCGCGGTCGACGCGCTGGAGGGAAGGGATGCCATCCAGAGGGACCTGGACAGGCTGGAGAGGTGGGCCACTGCCAGCCTCATGGAGTTCAACAAGGCCAAGGGCAAGGTCCTGCACCTGGGTTGGGGCAATCCCAAGCACAAGGACAGGCTGGGTGGAGAGTGGATAGAGAGCAGCTCCGAGGAGAAGGACTTGGGGGTACTGGTGGATGAAAACCTGAACATGAGCCGGCCGTGTGCGCTGGCAGCCCAGAAAGCCAACCGTATCCTGGGCTGTATCCAGAGAAGTGTGGCCAGCAGGTCGAGGGAGGGGATTCTGCCCCTCTACTCTGCTCTGGGGAGACCCCACCTGGAGTGCTGCGTCCAGCTGTGGAACTCCCAGTATCAGGATATAGACTGGATGGAGCAAGCCCAGAGGAGGCCACAAAGATGCTCCGAGGGCTGGAGCCCCTCTGCTATGATGAAAGGCTGAGAGAGTTGGGCTTGTTCAGCCTGGAGAAGAGGAGGCTCCCGGGAGACCTTATTGCAACCTTCCAGTACCTGAAGGGGCTACAAGGAAGCTGGGGGGGACTTTTTCCAAGGGTCTGTAGTGACAGGACAAGGGGGAACGGGTTTAAATTGAAAGAGGGGAAGATTTAGATTAGATATCAGGAAGAAATTCTTCCTGGAGAGGGTGGGGAGCACTGGGACAGGTTGCCCAGAGAAGCTGTGGATGCCCCATCCCTGGAAGTGGCCAAGGCCAGGCTGGATGAGGCTTGGAGCAACCTGGTCTAGTGGAAGGTGTCCCTACCCATGGCAGGGGGTTGGAACTAGATGGTCTTTAAGCTTCTTTCCAATCCAAATCGTTCTATGATTCTACTTTCCCTTCTCCCAGAAGGAAGAAGTGGGGAGACAGGGAGGAGATAACAATATCCCCACAGCTACACGACAATGTCAGAGCAGGTGGGATCTCTTTATAAGCATCCCAGGCCCCTTCCCGGAAGGTTGGTTTCTTTGCCCACCAGTGAGTTGGTAAGGAAACAACACCTACACCCTGGAAATGGTGCCTGGGCACGTGTCCCATTGCTCCTGCTCAGGGGCTTTGTGCCATGGAGCCACCACAGGGATGGCCATGCAGGAGCAGAGCCAGTTCAGCTTCCCTCCCAGCCCCACAAAGCTCAGGACCGGAGCTGCGTAATAAGTATGGAGATAGAACAACTCTGACCAACTGCACATTTAACTCACCTTCACCAATCTTTGCAGTTTTACGAGCCAAACGCTGGCCACTGGTTGCTGGAAGTGCAACCAACATCCAAACCAGAGAACTTTAGGAGGCTGCAAACATGCAAAATCCCCTCCAAACCTGTAAATCTGCCGGCACAGCTGTGCTGAATAAGTAGAGCTCAGAAACCAGAGAATCACAGAATAGTTTGGGTGGGAAGGGCCCTTAAAGCCCCCCCAGTCCCACCCCCTGCCACGGGCAGAGACACCTTCCACTAGACCAGGTTGCTCCAAGCCTCATCCAGCCTGGCCTTGAACACTTCCAGGGATGGGGCATCCACAGCTTCTCTGGGCAACCTGCGCCAGTGCCTCCCCACCCTCTCTGGGAAGAATCAAGCTTTTATAATTCAACAAGTCTATCTGCAGAAGAAAAATGGAGGTTTCCCCTTCCCCCCTGTGCAACGAGATGCTACCAAGTCCTCTCAGCCACCAGTGCACGTAGCTAAAGGTGGGCAGAGCCCACAAAACCAGGGTGGGAGAGGCAGGAGGTGCTCGCATGTACTACCCATCCACCCCAAGGGTGTTTCTGCACGTGTCTGCTCCACCAAGGCAAAGGCACTAGGGTGGAAGGATGTGCCCAAACCACCCCTGAGCCCCAAGCTGCAGGCAGCTGCCTGAAGGCTTTCCACAGGTCCCCAGAAGACCACACAGTTGCATCCCTAGATGTGGGAACAATTTAAATCCAAGTAAGGAGCAAGACACAAGAGCATATGAACTGTGCAGGTGCCCGGAGATGGGCAGGGAAAACAGAAAACAGCCTGTGCTGATCAGGGTCTTCTCCAAAGCTTAACCTCAAACTTGCCAAGAGCAGAAAAAACAAAACAAAACCAAACTTGGAAAAAAACAACCAACCAACCAACCAATTAATAAAAATCCTAAACCTTCAGCAGCTCTGGCATCATGAGCAGCTGAGACTGGTCTGACTGCACATTCAGCTTTCCTTGAAAACTACCCCAAACCACGAGAGCTTGCTGGCTTCTAGGAACAGCCTTTCCCCAATAAGTGGTCACCCACATGTTCCCAGAAAGCACGACAGTTCAACAAATCCCTGAAGAGCAAGGGAAGGCTTTTATGATCTCAGTAGCTTGTGGTTACCTGCCACAGGACGCAGGAAGATTCGCAGCAGCTCAGCCAGCTGGATCTACAGGGGATGGAGGATCCCAGGTCCCTGTAACTTTGACCTTTCTCTGCTACAGAAGGTTTCCTCCCGTTGGTGGTGGTCCTGTTACATTCATGCAGGCACAGTCCCAGACTGGAAATAGCAGGAGCAGCTAGACACCCCATGTGACAGGGACACATTCCTTGGGCATCTCTGAGCATCCCAGTCCTTCCCATGTGCTGGGGGCCAAAATCCCAGCAGGGCTTCAAAATCTAGGAATCAATATCTGACCCACAAGCAACAGGGCAGGTCACACTACACTTGCTCCTGCACCACCAAAAATCCTGCTCCACAAAATGGGTAAAAAAAACAGTGGGGGAAGAGGCTGTTCACAGCCAACAGGACAGGCATTAGGCATTTTTACTTGTGAGACAAGCAGACCTAGGCTATGTAACTGGGGAAAAAGGGGGAAAATAAAAGCTTCACTAATAGTGGAGCTCTCATATTGCTTCTTACCACCACTGCTATTGGATTCCTAAATCCAGATTTTTCTTTTATTCAAAGGCTGGAACTGTTACCACCAAAGCTAAAAACGATACATTATGAACACTGATAATTTGCACCTAACTTCCACCTTTCGGCTCCTTGCAGAAACAAATCTCTTCCCGAACACTCCGGTTTGAAGGCAGCACCTGTAGGAGAACTTCCAGAGCTCCCGCTTTTAGTGCCAGCAATGCACAGCGAGGAAGGACCGTAAAGTGCAGACTTGAGCTCCCCAAAAATCAGCTCAGGCGGATGAAGCGTTCAGGAGAGAATTGGAGGCAAACACAGAGTCTCTAGACTGAGAGTCCATGAGAACTTGGCCTCTCCCGCCCAGAGGCTCAGATTAAGAAGATGATGTCATCGGACACCATGATCTGGTTGTCATCTTGCATGTGGGCCAGTGCCACCTTGACTTCAGCCAGCGAGAAGGGCTCAGGGTTGTCACGGTTGATGGACTCCATCATGTTCTTCAGGCCCACAGACTGGGCATGGGAAGTTTTGAAGACCTCCAGGAGGGCAGCCTTGAATGCTTTCAACCTAGCCAGGCAAGAAGTAATCCCCCTCAGCGTCCACACCGACTCCTTCCCCTTCACTCCCAGCCCAGGATGCCTCAGCCCTTCCCCACTTCACCCAGCAGGAAAGCAAAAACCAGAGCTAGGACCACCCACCACCAATGCAACTCCAGCATCGGACAACAGCTTGGACCCACCAGGGTGGGGTGGGATGTGGAGGGACAGACGCCTCCCCCAGCCCTTGCTCACCTTGGCTCAGCCAATTCCATCTTCTTCGCGTCGCCAGCGGCCGAGGCTTCGGGCGTCTTGGGAGTATGTGCCTGGACTGGAGCAGAAAGAAGTGTTACCCTCAATCTGCCTGACGTCCAAGCACCCAGAGAGCAAAAGCACTTGGGCTTAGGATGGGGGGAGATGCCAAACTCCCTCACAACTCTGTTATTGCTGCAGACCTTGGCTCAGCCAATTCCATCTTCTTCGCGTCGCCAGCGGCCGAGGCTTCGGGCGTCTTGGGAGTATGTGCCTGGACTGGAGCAGAAAGAAGTGTTACCCTCAATCTGCCTGACGTCCAAGCACCCAGAGAGCAAAAGCACTTGGGCTTAGGATGGGGGGAGATGCCAAACTCCCTCACAACTCTGTTATTGCTGCAGCAGTTTG